AGAGAATTTTTTTTAATATTTATTTTTTAGTTCTCAGCAGACACAACATCTTTGTTGGTATGTGGTGCTGAGGATCGAACCCGGGCCGCACGCATGCCAAGCGAGCGCGCTACCGCTTGAGCCACATCCCCAGCCCACTGTGGACAAATTTTTAAAGGATTTTTGAACTATCCTTAAATCCAACTACCTGAAAACATGCTCCTCCAACTTGCTGGAGCCCCTTTCATCTATCTGCACTCATGCACAGTGACCACGGGCAGCTCCTAATCCACCCTCTAAAGTTCAGGCAAATGAACTTGCAGTAATTCAACTTGATGGTTTGGTTTGATTAAGCCACATACAAACAACAACACTGACCCTGTATCATATAATATCCATTGATTTCTATTTATTTTGCTAAATTATGTCTGCTTTCCAATTTTTGAAACTTTCCACACCAAGCAATACACCTTTGAGCTATGCAAGGAATGTTTACAGGAAAACAAGTGGCTTGATGACAAAGAAACATGTTTATTTTACATATTCAGATAAACATATATCCAAAGCACACCTGCTATGCCCATGTCCACCTCCCCCCCCAAAAAAAAGAAAGATTTCATTAAAAAATAATATGATGCCTTTACAATTGATGGATCTGTCAATCATGGAAATTTATTCTGTCACTTTGGAAATTGATTCAAGAAAAGGTGCATAAAAAAGAAGTCCAATACATTTCTACACAGTACAGTACCTCTCTAGAGATGAAGCCACCTGCCTACATTTCCTCTGATGGGGAAGGTGGGTACAAGTTCAGAGAACACTAGGAGAGCAATGTGTCCAGATGATGTAAATTGTCATATTCTATCTTCAGATGAAGAACTGGTCAAGAAACCTATGCTCAGTATCATGAATAGGGACTCACTGACAAAAATCACTAGCAGCCGTCCTGCATCTACAAGGAAAAGTTGGTCACTGTATTGTGCCTCTGAGAAGTACAGCCCCATGAGAGCTTTCTCAGAAGTTCTTCCACCATGTTCCTATTCAGAGAGAAACACAGGTTAGAGTTGGGTGATATCCTTCATTCAGCCCAGCTCTCTTACAGATGAGGCAATGGAGGCCTAGAAAAATGTACTTGCCCAACTTAACAAAATAATTCAACTCCACCACACATTTCTGGGTAACCTAGTGCTAGTCATTGAGCTTTCTGAATTGGTTAAGTTGTTCAAAGATGGCAGAGGTCTGAGGTACCTTCTGCAACTAAGCCCTGACCTCTATTTCATATGACAAAACTCCAGGAGGAATAGAACTAGATCATGGACATTCAAGGGCACATAAAGACACTGGTCAACCCACTACTGTCTCTACCCTAAATCTCAGAGTTACTGGGACCTACCGTGTTGTCCATTTGTCTGTTGTCATCAATAGCTCTCTTCTGCAAGGTCAATTTAAAGAATGATTTGGTGTCTGTGCCTTACTGAGGTGAAGGTGTGTCAGCTCTAAGTGAGACCTTTCAGGTTCTAAATGGCCGCCTTCAGATCTCAGCTCTGACCCCAGATCCATGGGAAAGCCCAGCAGTGGCACCCGTCATGACCCCACAAGTACGGGTCCTTCTAAATCAGTATTTACATTAGGACCCTTCAAGGACTGTCCTTCTTGCAATAGTTCTAGAATCTTGGGATTTTCCATGATTTACCTGAATATTTTCAGCACAGGAAGATGCTATGAGATGCATCTAGATATCCCTATCACTCATCAGCATCAACAGCTCTCTTCTGCAAGGCCAATATAAAAGCTTTCTGTTCTGCACAGGCTCATTCCCATGGACATTCACAGGGTGGTCATTTCACTTAGTAAATCACATTGAACAAAATTATGGGGGTCTGCTCATTCATACATGAGGGCTTCTACTATCTCACCTGGAAGGACTTCTGCTCTCTTGAGGCAATCTCATATGTGCTTGATCTCTTTCCAGGCCTGACATAACCCAAATGCTCAGTTCACATAAGATGTTATTATTATTAGTGTCTACCTCTGAATTCCAACCTACCACATGCCGTTACAGCAAAATCATTTGTTGATGGAGAACACTATGCATACACTTATAAAATGAGATATGAACAGAACACCATGTCATTTTCAATTGAAAGTATGGCATATAATCTATAATCTTGAAAAAGTGAAAAAAATGAATTTCTCTGGGCCTCAATTTCTATGTTTAGTAAATGAAGAGACTGGGTCAAGAAGCATCTGAAGACCCAAAGTTATCACTTTAGACATTCGAGACTATTAAGGCAACTGTCAGGCAGGCTGCAGACCTGGCCAGGTTCTGAGTATTTGTATTTTTATTGTTCACCAAGTCTCATTTCATGGTAATGCTGTGGAATTTTGTTTGTTGGAAGAAAGAACAGCAAAATAAACTTCTCTGCAGCATCTGCATTTCCCCCTCTGGCACAGTGTAAGGGACATGCTGTTGCATTTCCCATTGGCAGAGGCACTGGCATGCTTGTTTAGGAACTACTATTAGAAGCCACAAAAAGCCAGCCAGAGTAAGCTGCCCCAAGTGGGAGAAGGAAGGCTCTTTCCAGGCAAATGCCAGTATAAAAAAGATGTGGGGTCATGGTAGGACAATCATCAAAGAATAGCTATTCTTTCTTTACTTCTTTTTTTTTTTTAATTCCTCACTAAGCCTGCTGTGTTAGTCATCTTTCAGTCACCACAGTAAAACACTGGAGATAATTAACTTATAAAGAGAAAAGATCCACTTGAGCTCACAGTTTATGGGTTTCCAATTTAACAAACAGGAGAACCTCACGCTTTGGGTCCTAGTGGGTGTGCCAGGTGGCAATGCTGGGGAATGCCTGGCAGAGCAAGCTGCTGCAATCAAGCCAAGACTCAAAAGAGGAAGAAGAAGAGACCAGGGTCCCACAATCTTCTTCAAGAGTATGTCTGCAGTGACAAGAAGGGCTTCACTAGGGACCACTTTCATAATGTTCTTTTGGCTCCTGACACTGCCAGCCTGGGGACTAAGCCTTTCATGCATGGGCCTTTGGGAGGACAATCACGACCCAAACCATAGCACCTGCTAACAATTCATTAACAAACAAACTTGGACACCAAAACATTATTGATCATGGAATGTGTTCTTGGGATCTTCCCTACTTTTCTATGGATCTTGGGATTTTTCAATGGACATGGACTCTGCTCACAGGGTTAACACAAGACAAAATAATGGAAATCTTTAGCATGCCCTAGACTTCAGTGATAGTTAAGCACCTAACTAATAAAAGAGAAATGTATAATTGGGATGCCACTATCTTTTTAAAGTTTTAGTTGTTCCCACCTGATCTACAATAATGAAGGCAAAACAAGGAAGACACTGAGTAACTTGGAAGCCTGGTATCACCTCTGACATTGACAACATCTAGGAAGATCTCCTTGTTTGTTCCCCACATATTTTATTGATCACTCATCTTTTGGTAAAATTAAGCCAGTGCATTTCTCTCTGCAATCACACTGCAATGTTTCAGTCAGTACTGATAATAAAATGCTTGCCCCAAATCCTAAAACAGCTGAACCCACATCTACAGCAATACCCCAAGAGCTCTCATATTTTGCTAGTACATTCTCAAACAGGAAGATGTATCTAATCTAAGGCTGATCACATCACACGATTAACCACTGCCAAAATGCTCAGACTTTGTTTTACCTATGAAGAGGTAGTAGGTATATAAATTATATCAGGCTTTTTTTAAAGATTCTTGCAAACACTCATAAGTTAACCCATGCATAATTCCCTCCTTGTAGAAACTGCAACACTATCAGGGCAGTATATAGCAGTAATAATAGGGATACCAAATTATAGCTAACTCATAATTACCTTAGTATCATCTTCAGTTGATATTTTTCTTAACATCATCTCAGAATGTGCAGGTTCAAATTCTGCAGATGTTAAAGTACCTGTTTCTATACCACCAAGGTAATACAGAAACAGTTTCCCAAAGGAGGGACATTCCTTTTTGGTTGTTGAAACAATGTTGAGGAGGAGAGGTACACACAGACACAGTTACAGAGAAATGGATAGGAGCTGTATATTCAAAGAGGCTGTGGTTCACACCAATTAAGTTAGGGTAATTGTCATTCACTAGACTTGATAATTTAGTCCTGAGAAGCAGACATCAAATAGGAAGAGTCAAGGATTTGTGTACAACATGTATTATTGCTATCTACCACACAATTATTTCCTAGGTAATACATTGTTGCACATAAATATATGCTTACATACAGTATGTATGATTTAGGAACATTTATTATCTTCCAGAAAAATTCAAGTGCTTATATAGATGTAAACAAGACACCCTTAGAAATACAGAGTAGAATGGCTGTGTCTGGGCTTGGGCAAGGAGGAAATGGAGAGATGTTGGTCAAAGGGTACAAAGTTTCAAATATGGAGAATTAAAAAGCTCCTATAATGTAATATATGGTGACTATAATAACAACACTGTAGTGTTTACCTACTATTTACTAGGAGAGTAGATCTCAACTGTCTCATCAAAGAAAGAATCAAAGAATTATAAATGGCATAAGGTGATGGCTATGCTAATTAGCTTCTGATGTACTTCTGCATTAAACTTCTTGCTTTCAGAATCATAATCAGGGAATCGTTTGGTACTATGGGGGACAGACAAGCCTCCATCCACAGCTCCCTTCAGGGCCCCAAAAACTTTATTTCCAGTTGTAATTCTATCAAGGCCTGCATCCAAATAGCAGGTGAAGGCACTAGGTTGACTATCAATGCTTTCCACACTGTATTTATCTCCAGTCACTTCCACTTGGCCTTCATAAATCTTGTCCATACCAAATCTATTGAGAAGCCTATAGGCCAGCAGCAGGCCAGTACAATATGCTGCAGCATAATTTGTGAGGCCAACTTTCACACCATAGTTTGGTGGTTCATGTGCATATTCTGCGCAGACTATCATATCCCCTTCTCTACGGGCATAAGCAATCTGGCAAATGATATCTCTGTTAGTTACACAAACTATCATCCTATATTTGGGTGTGTTGTACTTATTTTTGTTCTGGATCACTATGCGTTTCCGCGCATAGTAATCAGTTGTGCCCTCTTCTTGACAACTTTAAGAAACCCCATCCTGGGGCTGGGGATGTGGCTCAAGCGGTAGCGCGCTGGCCTGGCATGCGTGCGGCCCAGGTTCGATCCTCAGCACCACATACAAACAAAGATGTTGTGTCCGCCGAGAACTAAAAAATAAATATTAAAATTCTCTCTCTCTCTAAAAAAAAAAAAAAGAAAGAAAGAAAGAAAGAAAAGAAACCCCATCCTGCGGAAGAGAGCCCGGGTCCATGGATCCACACAGACCTGCAGGCCCAACAGCACTACAGGGGAGAAAAGCTCTTCATGCCATTTTTAAGTTCATTTTTAAAAGACACTTTCTTAAATGCTTTGCAGGTGATTATCAAAAAATTAAACAAAAATATTTTATGTCTCTTTTTAATTTTAATTTATCCTAATTCACAATTTTTAAATTTGTACAACAATTGCTTTGCTATATAAAAGACAAGTGATTAAAATCTCCACATGTTGAACCTAATTGATATTTAGCATAATTTTAAATGAATAGTCAACCTATGACATATCCTGTCATAGCTACCAGAAAAGAAATGTAAAAGCATCAGATGTGGTGTCCATATAGACAGACTTGGGCAGTGGTTATGCAAGTGACACCAAGATAAGAGATCCTAGTAGAACTGAGGATACAAACTTAGGCCATTCCACAGTGACTGCTCTCCCTCTCTCTATGTATATGTGAGTGTGTATATATACACATACACACACACATACATAGTATGCACTGTGTATCTACATATGTGTTTCTATATGTATGGGTGTATATTATATATGTGTGTGTATTCCCCTCATTTCAAATAGTTGAGAATGACCCAGGGATGTGCATAAAAATTATTTTTCTCTCATCTCACAGAAAAAAAGGACTCAAAAATGTCTGTTTAGTTCAAGGATATTACAAAAGAAAAATTTTTTGTTAAATATGATCAAGGGTCCAGTGTGTAAAATCAGAGGCCTCCAAATCAACAGTCTAATTAGTACCATCTCCAACTGATAAAAGTACAGACAACATGGATTGTTTTCCCATCATGCTTGGATTTTGGCCACTTACATTCACATTTCTATAAACAAACATGCTAATAAGCACTTAGGAAAACAGCCCAGAGTGACGCATACACACATTTGGATTGGGGCTCAAATTGCCTATAAGAACAAAGGAAGAGGAAGAATGATTAGAAAAATTTAATCTAAATGGGAATGTATATATGCATTAATTTTATACTTGGAACTTCAATCCCTGTTGTGTACTTCACCAAAAAATAATGGCCCCATGATCACTTGGTTTTGATTTGGCAATATTCAACTTTCCTTTGATATACCCATAGAAGAATCACAATAAAATAAAATTAGTTAATAAAACAAATCATGGGCCACAAGGGGAAAACCGTTTATATTTCAAGTTTTTCTTATCAGGGTTACTTGGATTTATGTTTAGATAACAGCTACTGATACCAAACACATTTAGTGGGTATCTGCTTTGTCTAAGAAACTTTTCTAGTATGATGGGAGAGGCTGTAAGTAAAAGAAACCATCTCAGTCCTAACTCTGCACCTATGGCTACATCCTTAACCCAAGGTTTCCGAGATCAGATGTCCAGCTCCTTTTAAATGAGAAGTTCCTTAGCAAATTCTTACCTAGCAGAGTAAAAATAAATGAACATACAAATGGAATTGATCACTGGATATGCAGGGGGTGAGTCACCTTCTTTTGCTTCTCTGTGGAACTCCAACATCTAGAAACCCAGGGTTCTCATTCCAAACTGACACACTACCTCCCTGGGATTCAGTTCCTACAAAGTTAGATTTGTGACAATCCATTCTCTACATTATGTCTCACCATTTATGTGGGAATAAAATTAATTCACATGGAATAGTTGTTTTTTTCCCCCAGTCCTGGGTGTTAAAACCAGGGCCTTGCACATGCTAAGAAAGTATTCTACCACTAAGCTATATCCTCAGTCCTTTATAATTTTTATTTTGAGATAGGGTCTCACTAAATCACTCAGGGTCTTGTTGAGTTGCCAAGGCTGGCCTTGAACTTGCAGTCCTCTTGTCTCATTCTCCCACAGGTATGCATAACGTGACAGGCTCATAAAAGGGTTTTTAATGGTACAATAGTGGTACTGCCCCAGCAGGAAGGGACTGAAGGAGGCAGTCGTGAAATGTCATGCTCCTCCTCTAAAAACCAAGGGAGAGGGGAAGTGCTGTGGAGATGGGACTCCAAACATCAGGAGTGACATACGAATTAAAACAAACAAAAAGTCCTAAGTGAATAGAAACAAAAGTCAATAATCAGAAAACCATGAGAATTTCAGAGGCTCAATCATATGCTTCTAAAAGCTAATAATTAGTAGTCAGTAAAGTTTGGTTAGCTTGAAATCTGAGAGACTAATTCCTCAGAAAGAAGATAGGTGATGGTTGACAGCCCTGGCTCCAGGCTCAGAGCTGTGAGTCAATGTAAATCTCCTCCGCCTCCTTCCTCCCTCAAGTGCAATAATAACTCTTACCTCCTATGCTTGTTTTGAGGATTCAAGGAGTTAAAACATGCAGAGAATGATGCATTCCACTGTCATGTATTTTAAAAATAAAAGCAATTTAAAAAAAAACAGTTGCAAGAACAGTTAAAAAAAAAATGCAGAGGACTAAAATTGGGCAGGCGTATGGTAAATCTGCAGATGTGTTAATTCTTTCCATCTCCTTCACCGTCAAACAAGAGCAAGACTGGCCAGGACCTGAAAGTTACCTGTTTTCTCATTATCTAGAAGCACAGCCACATTTGCACCTCATCTCGTACTTCTGAGGCATTCCTCATTCAATTATATGTTGACATTCTGGCCACACATTATCTTTGGAAGACAAGAACTTAGAACTATGTGGGTACTCAGATTGAGGAAGAGAACAAGATATCACGTTGTGTGTTCTGGATGCAGTTTATTTAGTTTTAACTTCCTGCTATATTTTATTTTACTACACTTATTTTACTTTTGCTGGTTATTTTCTTTTGCCTTTTTTTCTCTCTATGCTGTTGTATTTGATGTTATGAATTTTTAAAGTTACTTTAACATCATTGGGAAATAAAATTGATCAAAAATAAAACAGCCGAAAATGAGTCTGTAAAACGACTATTGCTTCTTGTCTTCTGGTACAGGGGTTCACAGACACAAATACATACGCACAAAATAATGAACAGAAAATCAGAACAGAAAGGAGAGGCAGTAGGTTGTGTAACTTACAGGAATGGCAGGTGGCTCCTGCGTAGCCCAAGTGAGTGCAGTCAAAGGAGAAGGTGTCCCAGGACTGGGAACATTCACCTCCATGTTCACAACAGCTGGGCAAACACCTAAAGAAGGAGAGACACATTGCTGTTTTTACATTCAATCATAATAAACTATGCATCTCACACTAGTATGGTATAGGAAAAGAAGGAGAACAACAATCAACAGAAACATTTCAACAGGACCAAAGACTGTGGAGTCTGTTCTCACCATTTATGTGGGAATAAGATCAATTCACATTGAATAGTTGTTTTTTCCCTTGAGTTATCTCAACTAACCTTCAACTAACCTTCAACCACAAGTCAGTAAGTGTAGTACATGCTACTGATTCTCATTATTTTTGTGACAGGTAAATTTTCTATTTATCAGAAAAATGCTTTTCTTCTCACAAAAACATAATATTGATTTCATACCTGACCAGGATATAAACTGCTTGCAATGACCATAGGCAGATACACATTTCCCCTCCATCCTTCCACACCCTTGTGATGTGACACTGCAGACCTTTCCATACATAGGCACAGCCTGCATTTCTACCTTGAATCTGAGTTGGGCATGTGACCAACTTTGACCAAAGGACATTTTAACAACAACACAGTATTTAGTAATCAGGCACAAAAAGGACAGTTCTCTTTTGTAAACCTCAAATATGTTTCTGGTATGTATGAAGAATGAAGTGGGGTCATTTTTTTTGCCTAAAAGCACAACAATATAAATCAAGAATCAATAAATGGTATGGAGTCAAACTAATAAGCTTCTTCTTGGCAAAGTAAACAATTATGTGAAGAAAGGGCCTATAGAGTGGGAGAAAATCTTTGCATATACATCAGAGCACTAATCTCCAGGATATATAAAGAACTCAAGGGCTGGGGATGTGGCTCAAGC